TTGAAAATTAAAGATGCGCAATGAATTTTTTTTGGACGCAATTTGAAGCCGAGAGCACTGTAAATGCAAATGGTTGCTGTTTTCGTTCTAAGCTAAAATAACCGTGACTTTTTCTAGTGGCTTAGATGAATGTTTTTTATAATTACAGGAAACATTAAGTCTCTTTTTTTATTATACAACATATAACCTGAAAAATGGGAAAGAAGAAGGGTGGAAAAAGAAAGGACGATTACTGGTAATGTCTAGGGTCAAGGAAAGAGAATAGAGAAAAAAATTATGAACACTATTAAAATAATAGGGATGAAGCCTTTGAAGAAGACGCTGTTGCCACTGGTGCCGCAGCGGCTCCTGACGAAACCGAAGAAAACTTTGCTCAAAGAGCTACGGCTTTTAGTGTTCTTGCCGGTGAGGACGAAGAAGACGATGGGTAATATTAATAGCCATGCGTCTTTACTTTAACTAACCGAGTCTTATTTTTTATAGTTTAATGGCCATGGTCAACAAAGCTGCTAAAAATAAAGTTAAGAAGCAAAAGAAGAAGAAGCAGCAATTGGTCGACGAAGACGAAGAAGAACAGGGAGTACCTGCTGCAGAAGAACCAGCTTCTGCTCCAGTTGCCGAACCTGTTGACGAAGTCGATGAGTTTGACTGGGTGAATGACAACAAGAAGAATAAAAAGAACAAAAAGCCAAACAAACAAACAGAACCTGCAGCCGAAGCAGCAGAAGAACAAGCTGCACCCGAAGGTGAAATCCGTATTTTGACCAAAAAGGAAAAGGAGCGATTAAAGAAGGAAAAGCAAAAGGAAGCCAAACGTTTGGCTGCTCTCGAAAAGAAAAAGCAACAAGAAGCTGAAGAGGCCGAGTTTAACAAACTTTTAGGTCTCGATGATAAAAAGGAAGAGCCTACTGCTCCTGAATCTCAACAGACGACCGAAGCTCCAGCTAAATCAAAGAAACAACTTCTCAAGGAAAAGAAGGCCAAGAAGCTTGCTGCTAAAGAAACTGCAACTGAAAGCCCTGAAGCACCTGTTGAAGAACCTGCTCCTGCACCCGCTCCCACACCGGCCAAGGGTAAAAAGGGTAAGGGTGCGCCTGTTGCTGCTTTGAGAAAAATGATTGAAGCCCAGCGTGCTGCTGAGGAAGCAGAACGCAAGCGTCTAGAGGAAGAGCGTAAGCGTATTGAAGAGGAAGAAAGAAAGCGTGAGGAAGAAGAAAGAAAACGTGAAGAGGCTCGTGCTGCAAAGAGAGAGAAGGAAAGACTCAAGAGAGAACAACTTCGTAAGGAAGGCAAACTCTTGACGAAAGCACAAAAAGAAGCTCAGCGATTGGCGCAACTTCGTCATCAGCAATTGCTTGCCTCTGGTCACGTTCGTGTTCAAGCTTTAGAGGATAACGATCAAAAGCCCAAGAAGCCAGTATATGGAAACCGTAAGAAGAAGGTTGTCAGCAAGGAAGAGCAGGAACGTAGACAGCAAGAAGCTGAACAAAAACGCTTAGAAGAAGAGAAGAAGCGTAAAGAAGAGGAGGAGGCCAAGAAGGTTGCTGAAGCTGCTGCTGCTGCTGAAGAAGAGCCTGAAGATGAAGATGATTGGGAGAATGCAGTTGTCAGCAGTGATGAAGAAGAAAAGGCACCAAAGAAGGAAAGCGAAGAAGACTTGAAGAGCGATTGGGATGCTTCTAGCGATGAAGAAGAGAAACCTACTCCTGCTGCTAAACCTGCTGCTCCTGCCAAGACTGCCGAAAAGGCTGCTCCTGCTAAACCTGCTCCTGCTAAAGCTGCCCCTGCAAAGGCTGCCAAGAAGGAAGAATCCGAAAGCGAATCTGAAGAAGATGACTCTGACGACTATGACTCTGAGGATGATTCCGATTACAGCAGTTCTGATGACGAGCAACTTACTGCCACACAACGTCTTGCCCTTCAAAAGAAAGAAGAAGCCGCTGCCCGTCGTCTTCAACGTCAAAAGGAAGCCATGGCTAACCGTTCACAGGACGACTTGCGTTCACCTATCTGTGTCATTCTTGGTCACGTAGATACCGGTAAAACCAAGTTGTTGGATAAGATTCGTCAGACCAATGTGCAAGAAGGCGAAGCTGGTGGTATTACTCAACAGATTGGTGCCACTTATTTCCCTGCTGAAGCTATTGAAAAGAAAACTGCTGTTCTTGGTGACAAACGTGTTGACAAGATGAAGGTTCCTGGTCTCTTGGTCATTGATACCCCTGGTCACGAATCTTTCACCAATTTGAGAAGCAGAGGTAGCTCTCTCTGTAACATTGCTATTCTGGTTGTAGATATCATGCACGGTCTTGAACCTCAAACTCTTGAATCTATTCGTTTGCTTCGTGATCGAAAGACTCCCTTCATTGTAGCATTGAACAAGATCGATCGTCTCTTCCAGTGGGAAGCTACTCCTGACAATTCCTTCCTTGACTCTCTCGAAAAGCAAAAGCCTTCCGTCAAGCAAGAATTTGAAACTCGTGTTCAACAAACCATTGTCGCCTTTGCTGAACAAGGTCTTAATGCTCAACTTTACTATAAGAACAAGAACTTTGCCAAATATGTCTCTTTGGTTCCTACCTCTGCTCATACAGGTGAAGGTATTCCCGATATGCTCAATTTGCTTATCCACTTGACACAGACTCGTATGAGCGACAAGCTGATGTATGTCACCGAACTTGAATGTACCGTTCTTGAAGTTAAGGTGATCGAAGGTTTGGGTACAACCATTGATGTTGTCCTTGTCAACGGCTGGTTGCATGAAGGAGATCGTATCGTTGTCTGTGGTCTAAATGGTCCAATTGTCACCCAGATTCGAGCACTGCTGACACCTCAACCAATGAGAGAATTGCGTGTCAAGTCTCAATATATCCATCACAAATCCGTCAAGGCTGCCCTTGGTATCAAGATTGCAGCTCCTGATCTTGAAAAGGCCATTGCTGGTTCCCGTCTGCTAGTTGTTGGTCCTGATGATGATGAAGATGACTTGAAGGAAGAAGTGATGTCTGATCTGACCAACTTGATGAGCTCCATTGACCGTACTGGTCACGGTGTTTGGGTCCAAGCATCCACCTTGGGTGCTTTAGAAGCCCTGTTAGAATTTTTGAGAACAAGTAATATCCCAGTGTCAGGTATCAACATTGGTCCTGTGCATAGGAAGGATGTTGTCAAGGCTAGTGTTATGTTGGAAAAGGCACGAGAGTATGCAGTGATGCTGTGTTTCGATGTCAAGGTTGATAAAGATGCCGAAGATCTTGCCGAAGAATTGGGTATCAAGGTCTTTACTGCTGATATTATTTACCATCTCTTCGATCGCTTCCAAGAACATTTTGCTCAAATTGCTGAACAGAAACGTAAGGATCAAGCTGATCAAGTTGTATTCCCTTGTGTACTGAAGATGGTGCCTCGTGCTATTTACATGAAGCGTGACCCCATCATCATGGGTGTGGACGTTATGGAAGGCTCACTTCGTATTGGTACTCCCATCTGTGTAGTGAAAACAAACCCAGAGACACAGGCTAGAGAAATCATTACACTTGGTAAAGTTACATCTATGGAGCAGAACCATAGACCTGTTGAAGTGGTGAGAAAGGGACAAGCTGGCGCAGGCGTTGCTATCAAGGTTGAATGCCCATCTTACGAGACACCCAAGGCATACGGTCGTCACTTTGACGATAATGATGAATTCTACTCAAAGGTGACTCGTCAATCTATTGATATTTTGAAAGAGTCATTCAGAAATGATATGTCAAAAGAAGAATGGGCTTTAGTAGTTAAGCTTAAGAAGATTTTGGGTGTTGACTAAGAAAGTACAATGTAAAATAATCAAGAAATGATTATTTTGATTAATTTAAAAGAAGAATAAAAAAAAAAAAATATAGCCATTGTATATTGACTTAAAACAGGACAGAGCTGAGATCATCTTTATTTGTTTAGCGCTTCAATAAAAATCTTGATCTATTGCGAATAAGTCAAAAAAAAAAAAGAGCAAAAGAATCTGACCTAGAACTTTTTTATTTTCTATGTGATTTTTGCTTTTTTACTTTTGTACCTAAAATATTGCAATAAATATAATGGCAGAGGACTCTTCATGGCATGAAGCACCTACACAAGATCAAGCAGTGGTTCAACGAAGTCGTAAAGTAGTTGTTGTTCTTGAGAATGCTTCTTTGGAAGCTGCTCGTTTAAACTTTTTCCGTTCTGATTCCAAGATGCAATTACTTAACTGCGATGAGCATCAATCTATTCTCAAAAAGTTAGGCAGAGATATTGCCGATGCAAGACCAGATATTGTTCATCAGGTAATTTAAAAATAAAAAGAGAGTATTGAGCTTAATACTAAAAGTAAAGGACTACTGTGCGTGTTGTTAGTGTCTTTTAACTTTACTTGACAGCCCTTTAAACAAATCCGGTCACCTCGAGGTAAGGCATTATATAACACTCGTAACACATGGCGCGTATGAAAAAAATGCGCGTGTGTAGTGATGATATACTGATAATTCATATAGGTCTATATTCATACAGCAAAAGGGGTCGTTATTCGTATTAATCCAGCATGCCGTATACCAAGGACAATTAAACGCTTTTCTGGTTTGATGGGTAAATTTAATTAAGATTATTCCTCCATTTGCTGAAACTTTTCCTTTATACATATATAGTCCAATTGTTAGAGAGAGGAAGCATTAAAGGAGACGTTGAAGGAAATATAACCCTTCTAGAAATTGTCCCTGGTCCTGTACAACAATATTTTCCAGCAGATTCTAAAGTGCTTGGTAAGAATACACAAACATAGAAGCAATCCCCGTGACAATTAATCTTGGTTTTGTAGCACTTTCTTATAATGCGCCTAGAGTAAAGCTATACGATTATTTCAAACAATTACCCAAAGGACAACCCGTTGTTGTGGCCGTAGGTGCAATGGCTAAGGGTCCTGACACATTTGCAGATGCATACGCACAGGAAAAGATTGGTATTTCACAATATGCATTGTCAGCATCTGTTGCCTGCGGCAAAGTCTGCTGTGCTTTTGAAGATCTTTGGGATATTATGTAAACATAACAAAGAAAGTTCTGATTTGAAACGAATTGATTCCTGTTTTTTAATTTTTTTTTTATCAATGGCATTACATAATAAAATAAGCATTACTGTACTTTTCAGGAGAATAATCATTTGTTGCTTAGCAACGCTCATTAAAAAAAAAAGGTTGCCACGGCAAAATAACAACAAATCTATTTTTAGGAGCAAATACATATTTTAGTCAGAATAAATTACTTGAAAGAGTGGATCAAAAAGTACAATTGAAATGTGGAAGGGTAGAGAAACATGAAAGGGGGGAAGATGATATTTCTAATAATGTATCAAAAAAGAGGAAGGGAATTAAGAAGATGATAAAGAGCAACTGTGAAGTGCCAAACGGGATATATGTCGATCTGCAGAAGCTGCAATGGATTCTTCAATTGTAAACTATAAACCATGTAAGCTTACTCTTCGCCTTCTTCTATCTCTTCATTCCACCACTTACCCAAACACGCTTACGATCCTCGGCTGGCCAAGATTCGAGCACCTTTACATCTGTCACTTCATAAAGCCAGTGATGGGCCACAGTTTTACCTTTCTTGTTTGCCTCAGTGTAGGTACCCACTCTCTGTTTAATTTTCTCGGCCTCGATACCTGCCTCTTCTCGAAGGACACGAAGAATGGCTTCTTCGGGCTTTTCATCTTTCTTGCAGCTTCCACGAGGTAATCGATAAGCGCCTTCTTTCTTACGGCTGGAAAGCATCAATACCTTATTGTCCATAATAACAATAGCTCCTACAGCCTAAGTTTCCAGCATAAGCTTCAGGATATTCTTTCTTTTTTATTTTCCTTACCTGACGGATTTGTTTTTTCGTAGGCTTCTTTACCAACGTTTGCATATCAGGTTCAGCATTGTGGTTGTCAATAATGGTTGCAGTGGCGGTTTCTACTGTCATGTTTAATATTTAAAGTGTAACAAAAAAAAAGGGAGAGAAAGATGTAAAACATCAATCCTAAAAATTCTCTTTTTTTTATAAGGATCTTGCACCGCGGCTGCCGGTGACCTCTCCCTTCAGGAAAATGTTATGATGTCGCGTGTGTTTTCCAATTTTAGAAGAGAATCGTGTTACAGAACGCTAACGGACTTTTGATCTTAAATCATTTCATTTTCAATCTATTTTTACCACATAAAAAAGCAAGCATTGTGTATAAAGAGAGAGCTCACTTTCTGTTGTTCAGCTATATAAATGTATTATATCAAAGCAGCTTGTGTGTTATTATAAGCAGCAATTCTTAAAAGTATAAGTTTTTCACTTCATATTGATAGTAGCAGTCCATAAAGGAGATACATCTGCCTGTTTGATTATTGGATATAAATACGTATGTGTTTGCTTAATAGCTGTAATACGAATAGAGCAATGTCTTGTATGTATTATATTTCTTTATTATCGCATACAATAATATGGGCTGACAAGCAAGAAGGATATTCTGACTTTAAATAATTTTAAAAAGATGGAAATCCATCTGTCTCTCTATCTTCCTTCTCTTTCTCTTTTGTCGACTTGCACAAATATGGCCAACTCTACACTTCCACTAATGCCCAACGTGAAATCAATACAGTTCATAAGACAAACAAGTGCTATGCTTGACCTGTGCGTGGTAAAGATAATATAACTATATGGCATGGAGGAACTAATGAAAACAAAAAGGCCAATAAGAACAACTGCAACTGCAATAATCTATTATCACCGTTTTAAAGCGTTTATATCAGAGAAAGAAAAGGTCATTCACGTTGACGGCTCAATTAATGCAGAAGATGCAATCAATGCTAATGAAGAAGTAAAAACATTTTCATAATGTTTTACAATATACTGATTTATTTCAATAGCTACTAGCAACTACCTGCCTTCAACTCGCTTGTAAAGCAACAGAAGTTCCTAGAAAAGTAAGAGATTTGGTTAATGTCGGTTATCGCTACTATCATTCAGACGGATCGACACTAGATGTAGATGAGGTAAAGCAAACTATATAAATAATTAAACAAACATCTCATGTATAAAAAGAGCTATTTCAAAATGAGGGCTTCATTAGTAACAACAGAATTATTGCTAGTGCGGGCACTAGGTTTTGATTTAGAAGTAGAACTACCCTTTGCTTATTGTCTAAATGTACTAAGAGGATTAGCATCCATTCGCTATTTTATGATGGACGAAACAAAGAAATATTCACGAAAACAGCAGCATTATCCACCAGCACAAAAAGAGATTTGGAAACGTATGGAAACAGGTAAAGAAAAAGAAAAAGAAATAATTAGACAAGTTGAATAACACTTGCTGTAGATATGAGCCCTGAAATGAGTGCAATAGCTAGACTAGCTTGGGTATACATTTGGGATAGGTAATTTTTTTTCTTTTGTTTTATATTGTAGCTAATGTGATAACCTCAGTCTATGCTCACCCAAGATTGCCTTATCACATCCTGTACCGGTCATTGGGCTTGGATGCCTTTACCTTGCTCTTCGCACCTTACAAACTGAAATGTCCATGAACATGAATGAGTATGTCGATTTATGGGGCGCATCAGAGAATATGTCTGTTCAAGCTGTTCGTGATTTTATTACAGACTTTTTAGAATTTCATGACAGAATATCGCTATCAGAAAGCCAATAGTTGCTTTATTTATAGTTGTAAAACAAAGATCATAATACACCCATACTTTCTAATTTTTGACGTTCTACATATATTGTATGTAAATCTCTTTCTTTTTTTTCTTTTTATCTCTTTAATGTATATAATAAAGAACTTACGTGTTCGTCTAATGTCTGCCTCTTCTGCTTCGCTATCTTCACCCTCAATATAATCATCTGGATTAAAGTCTTTTGGCACTTCTTGCGCTTGAACTGATGGTGCAAATGGCAGTGTTCTAAGATTATCAATAATTCTGGCACTGAAAAGAGAGAGGATGAGCATTGTATAATAAAATGAAGCGTACTACTTACATAATACGGTCTAAATAGTCGCGTGTGTTGTGGTTTGTCATGTTGTTTGAAGGCACATCTAGTTTAAATTCTGGTCCATAGTACTCAAAATAATTATTGTATGGTAGTTCTTGTTCTGTTAAATCTTCCCCTACAGCCAAACCAGTCTCAAACGTCCAAGTTCTAGCTACGTTTCGAATTGTGTATCCACCACCACCAACCATCATCATTGGTATATTGAACGATTTAATGAATTCCACACAAGAAGCATGACCACGCATAGACAAATTAAAGCAGCCTAAGCGATCACCTGATAACGAATCACCACCGCATTGAAGGACGACAGCTCCTGGCCTGTACCAATCCATGATGTGCTGAATAACAGGTTGAAACACGCTTTTATATGTCTCATCGTCTATACCATCTCTCAAGGGCACATTCACTGCATAGCGTTTACCCTTTCCTAATCCTGTATCCTTTATATCACCTGTTCCAGGGAAAAACTCACCAAATTTATGAAAAGAACATGTCATGACACGATCTGTTGTATAAAATGCTTCTTCAACACCATCACCATGGTGAACGTCAATATCCACATACAGCACTCGTTGATGATATCTATGCATCTAGTTATATTCTTGTTCTTATTTTTCACTATATTACCTTAATAGCTCCAATATACCAAGCACAATATCATTTACATAACAGAAACCACTGGCTTCTGTTTTTTTTGCATGGTGAAGTCCTCCAGACCAATTGATGGCAATATCTGCTTCACCATTTAATAACTTATTGGCAGCACCTTTTTTTTTTTTACATATCGTTGTCAGCAACGATGGTTTTATATATTTCATTTCCTTTTTACCAATTGATCCGCCTGCTGATATAGAACAAAATTCAAATAACCCTTCAAATACTGGACAATCTTCACCAACATTGACTAGAAAAAAGAAATTGAATATACATTTTGTTGTTGTTTAACAAGTCTTACATCGTGCAATGCCTTGTTCAAGGCCACCATGCTGCAAAGCAAGAGTTTCTAAATTATCGGGTGTCACAGTCTGCAGAAAGTTGACATATTCATCAGAATGAAAACGAGTCATTTGAAAAGCACTACACCGTGTTGGTTTCTATGTTGCAAAGTAGATGTCTGTTAAAAGCTGTCTCTCTTTCTCTTTTTCTTGCTTTAATTCACTGAATTGAACTTAATCTTACAACAATGTCTAATTTCTTGTAAAGGCCATAATTCACAACCATATTGTGAACCATATGCATACGTTTTGGTTTCATGTAATGTCCTATTGTGTGTATAAATATAACTATTGAAGCTTTTATACTTTCTGCTTTACCAGGTCCATAGTTGAAATTACCCACATCGTCTATGATATGAAAAGTTATTAAAGTCATTGTTTCATTTTGAGGAAAGCTAATAATTACGATCGTAAAAGTATGATACTCTCTTTTTTGCACAATTGGCAAGACTATAAGAATTAGACATTGGGTGTTTTCTTAAATAAAAAGGAAAAAAAAAAAAAACAGAGAGAAGCTGTATGTTTGTATTATAATTTAAACTCAGGTATAGACGATTAAAACAGTGTGAAGCATAAAAGGAAATGATAATCTTTGTGACTGATAGATTTGCCTCTTTTTAAACTTAATATATGGAATACATGTATACACATATAGGTTTTTGGTGAATAAAGTGTGCGTTAATAAACTGGAGTGAGATTATTGACTGTTTTTATTCTCTCTCTATCGTGCAAATCGTTTGCATGTACTACATTTAACTAGAAGACTAATGAATAAAAAATAATGTGTTATTCGCTTTATACTCACCGAGGCATTAAGGAATGCGCTGTCGTTATAGGCAGCGCATTAAATCCAGGAAGCACCGTTAGTCTTTTGAAAGTTTTTTGAAGGGGGAAGGACTTTCATTGTCGTGTTCTGATTTGTAAACAACGATACCATATATATATTTAATGCACCGTTCACATCACGATTCCAAATCGTACCACAAGGCTTACACTTGAGGACAGAGCGTACTCTTCGCTTTGATCCAGAAACAGAGAAACTATTCATTTCTTTCATTTCACACTTGTTACATATCTGACTCGCTAAGTACTCGTCAACCGAGACAATGTTCAGTCTCCCTCCCTGTTAGATTGTTTGTATTTTCGTTTGATTTCTTCTGTAATACGTCTAGTAGGCGCAGCTCATTTTCCTTTCATACTTGAACAAAAAGAGCCATTTCCGAACGCAATGATCCGCTTTCATTGAGAGGAGGAAGGGAGGTCAGCAGGAGGTAGAGGCACATGTTTGCTTTTGTTTGGGTTTTGATTTTTAGCGCCAACTGTGCTTGATATGCCATACTTTTTGCTGTTGTCAAAGAGTTTTTTTTAACAATTTCTGGAGTTCCTTTTTGCTTGTTGATATACGTTTTGAACTTTAGCTTTTGAGACCTATACCATACGCAACGTTATTAAAATGTACACCATGTAAAAGAGCGACATACCATTTTTTCTGGACAATAGTAGTTATGGATTCTTTGATAGTTTTGTAGACGTGTAGAGGCAGCTAGTAAAAATGAGGTCAAAGTTTGCAGTGTTTAAAGTAGGTAATTCACTAATATACTTAAATTCGTCTAAATGACACTCTTGGTGTTCTTTTCGTCTTTTTGGAGCAAGATTGTAACCACACAAATGATAGTATTCTTCCAAGTTTGTTGTTCGGATACGTTCATGCTTTGTAGAGTCAACTGCAGTAAAGATAGTTAATATACCAGGATCAGCAGCCCAAATTCTGCATGGTCAACTATATCAGCAAAATCCTTGGGCGTCTCTGGTTCTCTTCTAGGTTCATCATGGATTGCGACAGTTTTCTTAAATATAAAGGATACAGCATAACCATCAGTAATGATCACATTTCTACAATGATAACATTTGTTTAGCCCAAAAATAAAAGCCATGTAAGCATATACATGCAAACATCTTGGAACCTGAGGCCAAGCTTTCAAGTGTCTTGAAGCTTATTTTTGAAAAATCAAATACATTAAAGTATGGTGCACGCCACATATAACCTGTTCAAAATCTCTGAAAATCTTTGAAAGTTGATAGCTGATCTTAAGGTCAACATTTTAAAAGCCAACAACTATATTTCATAGAGAAAGTACTAATAAATAAAATGTATTGCTCAGTTTTTTAACAACGGTGTACTAAGTTGAGCTATTATGGTTTCTATTTAACGTATCAGACTTCAATTGCGACAACCATATGCGTCATATCATTGGATACAATGCACTATTATTACACAAATTTATCTCTTTTCTTCGTTATTAACAGTTGAGTTAATATGACACTTTTCAAGAAAAATATTATTAGAAGGCGTTTGTTGAGACATGTGTTTATTAACGATTGAGTTGTTAAAAATATTGGTGATATTGATAATTAATAAACCAAGTGAAGATGTCCTCTGTAAGTAGTAAAAGCAAACATCAATAAACGTACAGCTGATCCAAAAAATCATGAATAGATAAGACTATTTTACAAAAAGTGCTGACAATAAATTGAAGCCTATGCTGAGCAAAATAACAGAGATATCATTGCTAAATTTTCGAATCTTGCAATTTCAACGGTGCTTATTATAATATGCTGTCAATAAAAAATATTCATACACTTCTCCTAAGTAATAATGCATTTCAAAAATTAAGATGAACAAGGTTTGAACAGGTTATAGATGACATGCACCTTACCTCAAAGGAAAAGATATTGATATCCAAAAACATGCTAATCCATACACTATCAATAGTAATTTCATTCTATGTGTTTTTGCACAAGAAACTATTAACGGTAAAGGCTGTGGTGCTTAATGCTTTTTTATTTGTTACTCTTTTCAAAAAAGGAAATATAAAAAAAGAACGATAAAAAAAAAACTCTATTGGAGACTCTTAAGTTGCATTCCAAAGAGAATCAAGTGCCTTTAGACAAAGAAGTAGAGTCTGTTGAGAGAAATTTAAACCAAAAGTGAAAGGTACTAGCATGAAAATTTCAAAATGGCCACACAAAAGATAACAAAGTATGTGAGTGCATAACATCAAATTTTTTGATAAATAGATTCTTCCCCCCTTTTTTAATCTTTTTTTTTTTTTTTTATAAACCTAACTAAACATGCTCATACGTTGATGACTGAACAAACGTGTTGCTCATGAATGCTCATCCATCATAGGCCAGTAACCTTTTCGAGTACCTATGCTAGCCCCATGCACAGTCTATGGATTCACTTTAGGAGGGTCGATTGTGTCTTCTACAGGGTCTAACACATGTATTGAGGCGTCGTTCATGGACTATCACTAGCACAGACCAATTATGGTCTTCTGGATTGTCTACACAACTCTAGTGTGCTGTTAATCATTCCCATATAGCTTGATGAATCTGATCCTCTTAAAGTGTTTACATGACCAAGCCCGTAGATCAATCAAAGAAATGGACGATGAAACTTTATGGATATAATCAGGAAATGGAAAGAACTAGAAGAATAATGGAATCTGCGTAGATCTGGCTCTGGTCTCAAAACAATGGCATCTGTTTCACTTTCTGAAGCTTAAAGATCAAATAGTCACTATGGTCAATACAAGCAACTCTGTGCCAAAAAGTAATCTACATTATACAATCTTCCAGAAGTCAAGCTCAATACGCCTGTACACTTAAAAGTTGATCAATTAATATTATGGACCTGTAGCTTGTTTCTAATACATGTAAAACTATGCTGATAATAAAGAGCTTTCATACCAATGCTAGTCATTTGATGATATTTGTCCTCAGGTACTCTTTTTTAATAATTAAATCACATCATAGAACAATAAATACATTTGTTCATTTTAATTTTCTTATGCATAATGTAACCCTAATAAAGATACAATTCTCCTCGTTAATCAGTTAATTTATTTGAAAGCGCTGCTCAAAATCATGTCCTCAACGGAAACTACATTGCAGCATTTCTGTAAATTACTACAGAAAATACCAACTCTTCCTGTTTCTGAGCTTTGGTCCCCTCGGTGGTACCTCGGCTTGCTCCTCCGCTGCGTTGTTCAACCGATTACTCCAGCTGAACAAGATGCAATGCCCAAGAATGTACCTCTCCGATGCATCGTGTCAGATCTCTGCAAGTGGGACAAAACCTTTGGATGTCTTACTCCGTTGCCCAACAATAGATCCTCATCCACCGCCCTTCGTGCAATCCGAAAGGGTCTTTTCCCAAGCCGACGAACAGTTCATGCTACTCTGTAGTTTATACCAGAGATTAGCCGCATTACCTTTGGGCCTCGCGACGATCTATCCACCTTGGGATCTCAGATGTCAGCTCCTGATAGATTTGACAACGCCTCCTTTTGGATACTCTAATGTGCTCATTGGACAATCCCAAACCTCCAATGCAGTACCTATTCCGATTGTCAAGGTCTCTCTTAGTCAGCTACGTTTCTTATGGCATAAAACGTCGATATGCTAATACAATCATGTCATCCGCCTTTGGCTCTGCTTCATTCGCTGCTTCTTCGACCTCAGTACTGGCAAACTTTTTGGTCTCTGACTATACCTCTCAAGGCCATAACACCATGATTTCGCCTGTTACATGGCTACATTCCTACGGCTGCTTTACAACATGCCTGGAATCCCAGCGTGATCACCTCTCCACTGTGCAGACTCTGTCAACAGGACGTTGAAACACACCACCATCTTTTTGTGAGCTGCTCTCTCAAACTCAACTTCTGGTTCTCCATTTTTGAGAGATATTCTCTGCCGGACAAGTTCTTTACTACAGATGAAATATGGTCTGTGCTCACTTCTTTTGTCCTGGCAGACGAGAAAACCATAGTCGATACGGTCGTTCTTAGTTTCTTTGATGCGGGTATTGCAACAATCTGGAAATACCACTGGCGGTGTGTTTTCGATGACACTCTGTGGTATACAACTGCAGTCGTCAACCGTTTCGAATTGGAACATGGCAGATTCCTGTCGTCATTGCCTTTTGAACGGAAGTTATCTTCCACTATAGACACATGAAAAAAAAAAAAAAAAACTATTTCCAGAAAGAGATGTCGCGTTGATTCATATAAATTGTATTATAAAAACTGCAAAAATGCGACTTACTTTCTGAAAAGTCTGTACTTCCAGCACATACTAGTGTTAAGTGTTATATATATTAGAGTGATTATAATTAATAAATACTATATTTTTTAATGATGTACTGGCTTAGATCCTATGAGAGAAAGAAGATGAGTCTTTTGTATGTGAATCAATGCTTATCTAAGATGTACCATCCACTCTCATATTTCTAGTTGCTGAAGGAATAGTCACAGTTAAGCCATCTAACTCTTTACACATTTGTATTTGACAACCCAAACGAGATCTATTAAGAATGAATATTAATCTCTTTCTCTTTCTCTTTCTCTTTGTATTTACGTCTCTGTTAATCCAAATGCTAAATCCAGCATATCATTCTCCTCATCCGTAGGTTCTTCCATCTTGTCATAATATTCTGGTTCGCAAATAACATGACAGGTAGAGCATGCCAGTGATCCTTCGCAAGCACCTAATCATATGTATACAATGTAAGTATTTTACGATCTTCTTTATGTAAATCATTTACATTCAAGCTCAATATCATATCTTTGTGCAAGATCAAGCATTGTATCGCCTTCTGTTGCTTTAACATCAATCTTTTCTCCTTCTGGTGTTATAAAATGTACGGTATATGGGCTATTCGTACGTTGTTAGTTCTACTACTTTCAGACTAGTGTTATGTGACATTACCCTTCACCTCTAGCAATTCCTTCTTTGCCGTGCCATAAAGCTACATTATGTTTATACTTGGTTGCTATGCTTACTGGGTATCATACCTTGTGCAGAAGAGAAAGGTCTAACTGAATTAATAATAGAAGGTTTATAAATAACCTTGCTTGTAAATAAACGCAGTAAAGACATTTTGTAAATAAAATGGAAGGGGCAGAGCTGTCCCAAGAAGAAAAAAAAAAAAGTTTTAAAAAAGGCGGGGACTTTCGGATGACTTGATTGGATGAAATTAGGCCCGTTATTCTGACACTTGTGCATGTGTGCTTTTTGAAGAGTGGATAATTGCACTTGACGCAAGTTGATGTCACATTAAGTGTAAATGTCTTTTTATTGCTTGTATGAATCAACAATAAATCAACGTTTTCCTTCATTGACGACATGGTCTGATCTTTCTTTATTAAAAAATGATTGGATCTCCACACACGGCTTTGTTATTGCATAGGTATTGTATTCCGATTGTGGATGAAGGTTGTGCGTCAAACATGCTGGTAAATGTGTATTTTTATAAATCCTGATCAAATGAGACTTGTTCTCGTAGGCATGAAAATAGTATATGTATGCAGAAGCATAATAGCTCTTGAAGTTCAAATTTCAAATGTATTGATCGTACCAAGCGTCCCATTTAGACGAAAAAAGTATGATACAATAATCAACATTCCCCTTTGGCAAGTAGACGCTGCTATTATTGTCCTGGTGCCGCTGCCCCTGCCCCCAGTCACAAGGCAAAAGCAAACAGATGCAATATCTACGACCATCACAAAAACATAAAAGTATTGACCGACGACTTAAAAAAGCGATCTATTGATGTGGTTTCTCTTGGCGTATCAGACTAGTGTGCTTGTTCATCAGTTACAACAAATCAGATATTAGTGTGCCAACTAGTGCCTTGGTCGGTATTTACAGTTTTTAACCTCCTGCTTATTTGTGACGTTTTTTAAATAAAATTTACTAGCTCCCACAGTCTCTCTTTTTGCGGGGTTAATTGAACCGAGGTTTGCGGTACATGTGTAAGGCTTGAATGGACATCAAACTTTAGATTCTTATGTAAAAATGAACCAATTATTACAGCCATGTGAGACGGAGTAAATGTCATTTTTGACCTCCTTTTTATAAATCAACATTTTAACACTTTCTATTTTTCTCTCTCTTTTCTTTTTACTTTCAAAGGCACAAAGATGAAGTTTGGAAAGACACTGTTGAATAACCAAATTCCTGAATGGTCAAGGAATTATATTTCTTATAAAGCATTAAAGAAAGAGATCAAGGCTGCGTCAAGTCAACTACCTCCTCCAGAAGAATCCATTACAGGTTAATATCCTAATAAAGGTTATTGACTAATCTGAGGATATAACACACACAACTATAGCCGTATTCTTCAAACTAGACAGAGAGCTAGAAAAGGTCAACACATTCTTTGTTTATAAGCAAAACTTAATTGATCGCCGCCTTTGGATTCTTGATGAAAAGTACGATAAACATAGAAAAGATGAATCAGATGAGCTTTCTCGAGCCTTGAAGGAGACACGCTCACAAATGAACAAACTGTTGTGGTTTGCAGAGATGAACTCGAAAGGATTCAGGAAAATACTTAAAAAGTAACTATCAACATTTATACCACGTGACGCGTCAGCAAACACTCACAACGCATATAGATTGGACAAAAAATTAGGTTTGGAAACACAAGCAATCTATTGGGAAACAAAGGTTGCCGTCCTTCCATTCGCAACGCCTGTTCATTTGAAGGGTAGTATCGAAAAGTTGAATGATTGGATCAATAATCTCTCTTGTCTCGAACAGCCCTCTACCAGCACGAGTTCAACCCTCAAACTGGCTCGTTTTAAATCAAATAATGAAGATATTTCATTGACTATTCAAAATGACAGCGTTTCTGACCTGCAAAAGTTGCTAAAGAAAGGAACAGAGGTAAGCCGAGACTGAAAATAAATGTTCTTTTATAGTAACATCTTTTTGTTATACAAACAGATTGATGAAACACTATTAGACCTTGCCGTAGAACATCAATCAATCCAGTGTCTCGAATTTTTGAAAACAAAACTTGGCCTCAGCCTGTTGAACCACAAGGACTTGAATGAGCGCAACTTACTACACCGTGTCTGCATCAGGCCATCTTCATCACTTGATATTGTCGAATCTTTGCTTTCTTTAGAACCAGAGCTATCCATGCAAAAGGACTTTGCCGGTAGACGTCCTCTGCATTATGCTGCGGAATCAAATCATGCTCAGCTTGTGAACATGCTTCTTAACCACGCGATCAAGCATGGGTATTATACTATCAATACTGGATTTGCCGATCAAACCTGGCAGGACCGTGAAGGTTTCACTCCCTTGTTTTACGGTATTCTACACGGAAGTACGGATGCTGTAAAGGAAATGCTTGAAGTAGGCGACATCACAGATATTGATGAATTGATTGCCTCTGGACAAAAATCACCTCCTATCGAAACTGACGAGCAAAACGAATTCTTGCCTGACTTTGCTCGTTCGTTACACCATCCTTCTTCTGTTGCTCTCGCATGCAAGCTTGGTAATCTCGACTTACTCAAGCTTTTGATCAGCAAAGGCGCTTCATCTAATCTAGCTGATGAGGACGGAGAAACCCCCTTATTGTTTGCTATTCGAAGTCATTTTGTCGAAGGCGTCAAGGTCTTAATCGACCAAGGTTGTGTCAATGTCAACTTGCCTGAAAAGATCAATGGTTGGACTCCTCTGATGGTCGCAGCTATCGAAGGGTACAAAGATATTACAGAGATACTACTTGCAGCAAATGCAGATAAAGATGCAATTGATAATAACGAATGGACCGCTTCAGATCACGCCGTCTTTCGTGGTTTCTTGGACATTGGGAAACTAGCCAAACCAACGAACCCAACACGCTACGTGAAACCTACTGTCAACGCGCGTCTTTCAGGCGAGAAAAGTCCTCCAAGAAGGACATCTAAAGCTGTAGCCAGAGCAAGTCGTGTGTATGGCCACAAGTATCTCACGGACCAATGCATGATCATTATTACCTTGGGATCCAACGACGTGCGCAACTCACTCTGTAGTAAGTTTATTGAACTGAGCAAGTCGTTCCTTGGTGAAGACCAGCACCGAAGACTGTCTCTGTCTGTCTCTGCTACAAACGCTTCTGGTGAATTTCCAATCATTGACTTACCCACGGATGATTTTCACAGTCATTGGCCAGAACCTATAGTCCTCTTTGCTACTAGACCGGAAGAGGTCATCCTGCGATTTGACCTCATCGATACCTTTAGCTCGTCACGTAATAGCAGTATCTTGGCTCGCGGCACCTCCGTTCTTGCAGCGGACTTTATCTTCAATAACTCCAAAGGTTTTCAAAATCAGACCGAAAGAGGTTCACTGCGTGGCCGTCTGACAGTACCTTTGGTACAAGCCAAAGACCTTGAGTACGTCGGCACGTTGGGATTCGAGTATTTTGTTATTACACCATTTAAACACAAGAACATGCGTATTGGTGATCGCTACACTTACTACAAGTCGGTAGATACTCAAGTCATCGGACATCGTGGTTCTGGAATGAACCGAAAGGGATCACGACTTCAAGTAGGTGAAAACACAGTACTCGCGTTTGTGACAGCTGCCTCGCTTGGCGCAGAATATGTTGAATTTGGTAAGTTTTTAAGAATTTTGGGAAAGGGCATTATGAACTCACTATAAAAAATAGATGTTCAATTAACAAAAGACTTGGTTCCTGTTGTCTATCATGACTTTACCGTAACAGAGACAGGTTACGATATTCCTTTAAACTCCATCACCTTAGAGCAATTCCTAAACCTGAGAAGATCCGGTCAGATCAAGGAGTACCATACAGGTATCAAAGAAGGTGCTCATGGCACAGTCATCTCTACTCAGCGTATGAGCGGATCTGTAGATGACTTTGCAGACTTTTCCTCTCCTATTCCTCATACGGGTCGTATCAACCGATCTTTTTCGTTCACAGGAACGAGTTCCAATACAAGCAGTCCTAAACGACACAGCCCCATCGATCAAACGCGCTTTTCAAAGTCTGGTAAAATGAAGGGTAATGGCCCAGAGACGATTCAAGCACCCTTTACCACCCTTGCCGAGACACTGAGAAGCGTTCCCAAATCGGCAGGCTTTAACATTGAAGTCAAATACCCCATGGTGGATGAAGCCGAGCAAGACGAGTTGAACCAATTCCAGGAAATCAACATATACGTCGACACCATTCTTGAGTGCGTCTATGATAACGTGGAGGAGGATCGCCATATCATTTTTTCCTCTTTCCATCCTGAAATTTGCCTTGCATTGAATCTGAAGCAGCCCAACTACCCTGTTTTCTTCTTAACAGATGCAGGCACTCTACCAATGGCTGACGTTCGTTGTAACTCGCTACAGGAAGCTGTACGATTTGCCAAACAAGCAGATCTTTTAGGCATTGTGGCTGCAAGCCAACCTATTCTGGAAGCGCCCAAGATGGTTCAAGTGATCAAAGAAACAGGTCTACTTTTGTTCACATATGGTGTTCTCAATAATGAAGTAGAAAATGCGATTGCTCAAAAATGCTACGGTGTTGATGCTGTTATTGTTGTAAGTATTATGTCTTTGACAGGGCCTGTAAAAGAAACTAACACATTTTTATTAGGACTCTGTGCTTGCCATTAGAAAAGGATTAAGAGGAACAGATTAAGACGTAAACTTTAGAGAAATGTCAAATGCGCATACAATACATGCAATATAAAAATAAAGAGGTTTCTTACTCAATCTTTTTGTTGAATGAAAATATGGCTTTATAAAACCTTTAGGATAAGATCATATCCAACGCGTAGATGTATTCAAGAAAGTATATATATATTCTTTATTACAGGTGTTTCTTTACATTGTTCGTGGCATATGTGCTCCTAATAATTCTTTAAATCTATGATCATCCAATTGTACACCCTTTTTGCCTAATATTTCATCAAAGAACGGATCGTCATCTCCTTCTGTAATATGCCCACTCACAGCGACTGCCGCCTTGACCTCTTCTCCTCTATTTTCGCCAATGAAGCCCATGTTCAAAATCCTGACTGTTTCGCTAAACCCACTTCCCCAGAGCAGTGGTTCGAGATACTTTAGAACCACAAGACCTGTTCGAAAAAGGATGATATCTCCGTGCATCAGATAGATATCCCATAGCCTAGATGATAGTTCCAGAGGAATGATCGATGCAAAGATAGTCATGAACCAGTCAGGAAGGTAATTCTCTGGTGTGAGGGTCAAGTTCTTGAAATGCAGATATAGTTTGGGGAAGTTTTCGGCAAAGATGACATTAAATATTTTGAAAAAGCCTTGAATTTTCCTTTCATCAGAGCTGTAAAGTGCAGATAAAACATCACTTTTACTAATCAGGTTGACAAGCGATGTAAACGAATCTTGTGTGTTCATGTTTAATAAAAGCATGCCTGCTAGAAAAGAGGTTCCTCTTGGCTACATTGTAACGTTAGAATATGGCATTAATATATCTACTACAATTTACATAAGTTAAACTGGGCCTGTAGCCAACATAGGCATGTAGCACTTTCCTTAACGAGCTAAAGAGGGGCCCATCAGGCTAATATAGCAAAAAAAAAAAAAGGATGTGAGCATGATCGGACGATGACAGTATATATAGTAATTTTTATGGTACTTGAAATACGCAAAGACTTGGAAGTGTTCTTAGTATATCTTCGTCTATTGCCTTGTTCAAAAAGTTGATAACTGTTGGATTAACAATAAGTCTATTTTCGTCGCCATCATCATTTGTGGTATCATCATCCAAGAGGAAGCTGTCTGTATCATTTTCATCCATGTCGTCGTCATCGTTATCGTCATCATCGTCATCATCGTCGTCGTCCTCATCATAGACTTGAATATTATGAGCATTAATGTCATCAAATTGAGCATTTAATTCCATTGCAGGTCTTCCTCCTGACTCACTATCCTCCGTACTTTCTTCATCCTGGCTAGATTCGTCGTACTTTACTTCATCAACACTTTCAAATGAATGTTCATCGTCCTTTTTTTCACGTAACACGTCCAGACTGCTTGTTCTCTTGCGTGGTTTATAAAACGATGCATCATTAATATCAGTGTAGGTATCAGGTAATGGCTGCTTATTCCGTCTTGTCTTTCGCATGGACGAAATAGGAACACGCCTTAGACAGTCTGTAAACGTTGTCTTTGTCACATTCAGTTCGTTTCCGATCTTTAGCTTCCACGCTTTTTTCCTGCAACGTGGCGGTATGCCTTGATCCCACAACGTAATTGTCCGCTTATCGTGAAAGCGCAAGTGCCATTTGGGGAAAATATCTGTTTCCCACATCTGTATTGCCTGTGTCATCTTTTTGTCCTTCTCTTCTCGCTTTTTCGACAGTTCCTTTTGCTTTTTGGCTTCCATTTTCTTTGCCTTTTTCATCATGGCTTGGTATTCCTGAAGATGCTTCTTTTCCTCCTGTGGATCTTTTGGCGGAAGTGTCCTGCGAATGATAAAATGAGTTTTTCTCTAACTAGATCATACACTCTTGTATACTATACCGAGGGCGTGTTTTGGATATAACTGTTTCCAAGAGTGATGGTTTCTGGTTGATCTTGCTTCGCTTAAATGGATTCAAGCTGGCCAAGGAAGAGTGAGTTAGCATTTATCTTTTTTTTTTTTTATACTATTTCCTTACTTTGTTTTCGTCTTGGGACTTATTGAAGTACCACCAGATGTCACAATAACTTCTGCCTCATTGACGTTACGTCGTGCTCCACGAGAACGTCCATTGTCCTCTTGAACATTTGTTGATGCAGCGGCTGCAGCAACAGCAGCAACTGTAGCAGCTGTAGTGGTTGACGTTGACGTATCATCCAAGACATCCGATATTGAATAAAAAGGACCGGATATATCTGAACTTGTGATGGTCATATTTGTGTCATTGTTCTCTAATGGCGGCGAACGCCGAGGCATGAACTTCATAAATTTGGAAGGTGAATTATGAGTGTTGTCTCTTGGTAAATCAAGAGATACTTCTTCAAAGAACTGGTCATAGTTATTTTTTGAATTAGTCTCTGGTATATACATCCTGTCGTTATTGTTGTCACTGGAAGAGTGGTCCAACGATATTTCATCAAGCATCTTGTTGACTGAATTATCTTCAAGATGAGCAGATGCTAAAGTGTCTGACGTATCAGCCTTATTTCGTTCATTCATTTTATAAAGGATAACAACAACAAAAAAATTAAGAACAAGTCTAAAATTGATTGCATC